CAATGAGGTAAAACAAAAGAAACCACAATATTAATCAGTTGTGAAAATAATGTGATGCAAGGTTTCTTTGCTGCATATCTTAAATTCCCCTCATGACTGTCACGGTTCTGAGTCATTTTGACCGAGCTTTTTGTGTTTCTTATGCTTTGGTGTTTTTCTAGATTATGATTTATGTTCTGATTCTTGAGTTGTGCTGGTTTGATTTTGTGTTACGGGTTATATTTTCTGTCAAGTCTGTCTCTCTCTGTCAAGTCCACGTCTTTGTAGATTGTTTCTTGTTTCCTGTTTTACTTTAAAGGTTCATGTCTGATGTCACTGTGTTCAGTTTTACTTCCCCCCTGTCTCGTTAGCCCTAATTTCACCCAGCTGCATCTCCCTCCTGTTTCCCATTCCCTGATTACTCCCCTGTGTATATAAGCCCTGTGTTTTCCTTTGTTCTCTGTCGTGTCGTGCCCTCTACATGCTTTGTGTTTTGTCTCCTGTCCCTGTTTAGTTTCTCTGTTCCAGTTCAGTACCTTTGTTCTGAGTTTTGTTTTGGTGAGTTTGAGGTATCGAAGGTTTTTTCCAGCAGTAAAAGCTGCGTTTTGAGGTTGAATCCCATCTCCAAGAGTCCTGCATTTTGGGTCCACCACTCCTGCCTGCCTGCCACAAAGCCCATCATGACAGTAACACAGTTTTAAAGTGTAAACAATAGTGATGGGTAGCTGAGGCCTCGTGAAGCGTTTCAGCACGTTCCCCAAACTGTATCGACACTGTGTCGACACAGTGCTGCTGTTTTGCTCCATACTGACACCTGCTGGACCTTAAATATCATTGCAGGCAACTTACTTGAGACTCACAACAGACACTGATTCAATGACCTAGTCATTCCTGTATACACTGTAAGATATTGTACTTTCCATGGAATCATTTTATATCTTTTACATTGCAAATATTGTAGACATCTTTAAAATATATTGTGAATGACAGTAAGTGAAAATTAAAATGAAACAATTGTGAATGTAATATTACCCATTTCACTCAGAGTTTATTATAAATTTCTATTCAGAAAAATAAGTTTATCCAATGTTTTTGCATTCAGTCTATTGCTTTTTTTTGACACCATTTCCCAGCTTTGGAAAACTGTTTCTTTGTCTCCTCATTTTCATGTTTGGCTCTGTAATGCCTAAACACTGAGGAGGTGCTTTTGTTTGTGTAAGAAATGCAGAACAGATGCGACATTTAACCTGCAAAAAATGAAATAAATAATTTACACTGCAGGTCACATTGCTGTTTTTCCTGTTCTGATAGATTACACTGAAACAAAGACAGACAA